GGCGCATGGGGCAGGGGGACGCCCCGTCCCCAGGGAGATGCACCACAGCAGGCCCACGCTCTCTGCGGCCCCCTTCTGTCACAGCAGGGGCCATGGACGCAGGTGGCACCAGGGAGGCACCGAAACGCCGCAGGCTCCAGCCCCAAGCCCGGAGCCCAGCTCATGCCCCATGAGAGGGGGCTGCTGCAAGGCTGCTCCCTAAAGCCCTCGGAGATGCGCTATCGGGGTGGCAGAGGAGCCACATCTCAACCTGAGCCCGGCCACGTTCCCCCCCCAGGCGCTGGGGACAGGCCACGTGGAGAGGGCAGCGTGGGGGACTGTGTAATTGCAATCTAGAAGCAGCCAGCTGAGCCCATGGCATTCACCACTATAGGAGTCGGTGCTGAAGGCATTGGGCACAGCATCGGCTCCAAAAAAGATCATGATGTTTGGCAGAGTTTGACACACCAGCAAGAAAAAAAAACAGAGAAAAGAAGGTGCGGACAGCCGCCTCGAGAGGCAGGGAGCCCAGATGGCACAGCCCAAACCACCGAATCCAAGCCTCAGCCCAGTACACTGTTCACAGCTATTCAATCGACAACAGTCGCAGGGATTAAGGCACATGTATTTTTGTATTAACAGTTGCGAGGTGTATTTACAGCATATTTGCCTCACCGCTATGGTCAGTACAAATGCTGACGACTTTCCTCTAGATGTACCCAAGCTCCTTTCCTGAGCACGGGCGCACACAAGACAAGTAATAACTGGCAAGCCCAGAGGAAGCTGGTTGGTATTTTCCAGTTCAAACGTGGGGCAGGCAGTCCTCAACTGTGCTCCCGTAGAGGTGGACAGCAGCAATCATGCCTGTCACCACATCATTGGAAGACACCAATAATTTATTGAAATAAATACAGGTAACAAACCAAACAGCCTCTGGGTTTAAACACTACACGTACGTCGGGTACAATTTCTCTACGCTTTTGGGAAAAGCATGGTGATACACTGATTTTTGGCCTTTGCCAAAGTCCGGAGCAGCCAGATATGTGCTGGAGATCGGAGGTGGAGGCTCCCAACTTGTCATGCATTGGGCTTTGTTGTAGGAAGGAGTCCGGTTTCAGGAGGATTTCTTTCTTCTTTGTAAGAGTGAATCTTTTTTTTTTTTTTTAAACCAAAAAAGGTTAAGCCCCAAGTCCATGTTGGCAAGCTGCAAGCTGAAGGGGGGGCTCTTTTCGGACGAGGCCCTTCAGAAGCAAAGGCTGCTCTCGCAGAGCAACCCCGGCAAACCCAGGACTGACCAGGGAAAGCGAGCCTGGCTCTCCAACCAGAGAGCCACCGTGTCCACGCTGGGGCCGGCTGGTCCCAGCCTCCAAACTGGCATCCGTGTGACCTTGGAACCCAGTGGGGACAGCAATGTGGACGCTTCACAAACCTCCTTCCTCTGCCAGGACCGCCCCGGCTACGTCTGTCGGCCCTCGGCTGCCACAGTTCTCCAGGGCACAGCCCTCCGCCGACAGCTCCGGTCCGGGGAGGGGAGCACAGAGGCCAGAAGACGGCAGTCAAGCAGGGAAATCCAGTCAACGATAATAAGGGGAGAGTCTTCAGCTCGGACCGGCCCTCGAAGCTCATGTTTCCACTACTCGAATGAGAGGCAGCGGCTTGGGGCCCGTCAGCCTTTTGCTGCAAGAGAGAAAGGATTTGTTCAGACAGAAGAACTGGATGGGGTTTGAGGAGAAAACCTGTGGGAGAGGTCCTGCCCCAGCCCTGGTCGGTGATGGCTCCCCCCAAACCCCCCCACAGGCGGGACCTCTGCTCCCCTGTACTCCCCTGAAGGAGGGATGCAGGAACGGAGACCTCTCCGCAAACAGAAAAAAAATACAGTGCGCTTCCAGAAGAGCATCCCTGAGCCCAGCATCATCTCCCAGGCTGCAGCTCCCGCTGCCCCGGATAAGACATTGCAGATGAAGCCGCTGAGCAGGCAGTCAGGCTCCCCCCCATCACTGGAGAGTACGTGCTCCCCATGTACCTGCTCACATACTCCGACTTCGAGCGCACTCTGGAGCTGTGGCCGCCCCGACTGACTTGCTTCTCGATCAAGTGCTCTATGCGGTCGTGCATCTCCAGGTTCTGCAAGAGACGGAGCCACTGTTAGCGACAGGGAGCTGGGGACAGGTGGGCTGCGGGCACACAGATCGCTCGCCGAGGAATGCTCCAGTACAATCTCTTGCAATGGGGCAGCTTTTTCTTGAGGGAAATGAAATCCAGCCTTACATAAGGACTGCTCGCCAAAAGGAGAGCCAGGATGGTCTGTAAGACCTGCTCAGGTTCTGCAAGAGACGGAGCCACTGTTAGCGACAGGGAGCTGGGGACAGGTGGGCTGCGGGCACACAGATCGCTCGCCGAGGAATGCTCCAGTACAATCTCTTGCAATGGGGCAGCTTTTTCTTGAGGGAAATGAAATCCAGCCTTACATAAGGACTGCTCGCCAAAAGGAGAGCCAGGATGGTCTGTAAGACCTGCTGAACGGTGGGCTGTGCTCACAAACCGTCCCTATGCAGAAATTAGCAAAATAAGTCACCTAAGAAAGGAAGAAAACACTAGAAGTGCCGATGCAGGCTCAGTTTTTATCCAAAAAAGGAGAGAGGTTTGACACTTGTTACAACCCTAGAGGCTGGAATGCAATTTTAATTTCTGACACACACGCATTCAGCTGCAGCTTTGTAAGCAAGAAGGGTTTTGCTGCCAGAGAAATGTGCTTGATGAGATTATTTTGGACTCGGCTTGAGCTCACAGCTGCTCCAGCAACTCTGGCTGCATTGGAAACCATCACACCAGCTCGGGGAACCAGCACAGCCCTCGGGGCTGCGGAGGGCACATTTTCCTTGTCAGTGCAAGGGAAGGGCTTTGCTGTCGGCCGCTCTGCCCAGAGCAAAGCTCATCGTCGCGAGGGAACCCAGCCACGACCCGCAAGTGCGCAAAGCCAGTCACACCGGGAGGTTTCGACGAGAGGGTCTCAGCTCAGAGCAGACCCTGTGACACCCCCCGAAACAGCCCCGCTAAGACGCACCTCAGCCTCCAAGTAAGCGACTCTCTCCTTGAGCTCCTGGATCACGGCATCTTTGGCCTGAATCACTGTTTTGGAGTTCTGGAGCTGTAAGAG